ATCTAGGAGCTTCTGATTTTTTTATTCTCATTGTAGAGAAGTTCTTAATTTGAAATGCAGTTTCTAATTCAGTAGATGTTCTGGATTTATGGTGATTTGGGAACAGAATCAAGAGTCCTTAAACAAACAAAGCAATGGTCCATCTGGCTTCAGCTGCTATTTCTGATTGCAGCTCCCTCTAGACATTTCAGAACAAAGTGGAAAATCATAGAACAGTTCCTGTTGGAAAATACTTTCTGATAGATAAGCTGATCATAGGATTAAATCAGGTACTGAACTCAAGCCACTGGCAGCTGGATGGCTCCTCAAAATTGTGAGTTTCTAACTCTTCTAAGTTTCATTCTTTCAAATGTAACTATGGAAATGTTTGTTACCTGTGTAAGGGTGTAAGCTCACATGGAACAATACTGAATATTTGGTGTCCTGATAATCGAATCTAGAATGGGGCATGTATTTCTTCTCATTTTTCACATCCATGCCTCTCATTTTCTTACAGTGCTCCCATTGTTTTTGTTATAAGAAAGATAAGCTAGATAAAAGTCCTCCTCCACCAGTTATTTTATACAAGTTTATAATTCATTTATATACCTCCTTTATGGCTGGACGCCTACTCAGCACTGAAAAAGCAGGAATGCTGAAAATCAGACCTGAAGAGAAAAACACATTTCAAAGACATAGAATCAGTACACTCTGGCATGTAGGAAAAGGCAGATGGGTGGGAGGATGGCTTCTAAAACCAATATAGTGATGCTGGTTTTTAGGCATAGGAAACAAATCTTCCTTTCAGTCAAAAAAAAAAAAAACATCCCAGAAAAGTAAAAGCTGAAGCTTAAGAACAGGCCAGTGAAAATTGCTTTTGCCTGGTGCTATTTTTCAACCCAAAGACCAGTTTGAGCTTGTAAAGGCAAGGTAGGTCAGCACTGCTAGCTGCAAATGGCTAAGAAGGGGTTTGCACTGTGGTGTTCTTACCTTTTTAAAGGGCAAGTGATTTGAAGTGACAAAGTGGATGTCATCTGCTCTGTAGTAAATGTGGCTACATGACGAGACATTCCTGGTCAGCTGGGAAAACATAGCCAAGCTTGTATTTGCTCATATCCTTGCAGAACTGTTGTTGTTGGCAGTCCAGAGACCCACAATAAATGACATAAAACCTAGAATTTACCCTTGAAAAACAAAGCACTCTAGAAATTTGCTACAGAATCTGTCACGTTTGCTATATTTCTTATTAGTGTTTCATCTGTTGTTTTTTGTTCTTTTGATGTAGGGTGTTGGGTGTTCTTGGTGTGGTTTCTTTTTTCTATAATACATTTAAATATACTGTATATTCAGAGTGAGGTAAGGTCTAAAAATGTGTTAAGTATGTTTAAGAAGACACATGGATTCTTATTCCAAAAGAAGCAAACGTATGCCAATGCTAAAGCTACTAATACCATTACAATTTGCACCTCCAGTTAACTCTGAGCTGTCAGTAACTGTCAGAAGTAATTACTTGAAATGTTTGGAAGTAACTATAGTCAAACTTTGCCTTCCTGCTGACTGCCACAGCCTGACTGTCTTCTGTCTTGTGATATATACTGCTTTTTACACCAAGCAAAAATACTGTATTACCAAAAATGCATTGGAAATGGAGCACAAAAAGCTGCATTGCTTGCACTATATATTACTTGTACTGTTATTTGCTTGTCATACTCTATATAACCATGGCACAGGTGAGAGCTACTCTGAAAGACTGGGTCACTGTTGTGTTACTCAAGACATCTCCACAAACCTTGGCATGGTTTGTAAAAGCTATACTTTCAGTCAGTGTTTCATGCTACTGATCAGTGGTTGAAACTCTGCTTAACAAGACTGTAATTGTCAGAACAGTGGGAGAGTCAGACTTCTTTGCATCTTCTAGAGGACTGGTGATATCAAGGATACTCCACAGGGAAAAAAAAAGATGCAACACCTATTCAAGCTTTGGACAAAATAAGAGATTTTTGCTTTTTAACTTTTCATTTCCATAATATATGACCTAAACATGTGGTCCCATTATTAGGAGAAAAAAAAATATTAAAAATGGCTTTCCTAACCTCAGAGCTTTACTGAAGATTTTGACTACACAGATGGTCAACTGGGCCATACAAGTACACTTTCTCTTACATGAGAAGTTGGCCAGCAATTTAAAGGTAAGAAAATAACTACCTTTAATTTTGTAAAGAACTTAAAAATATTTCTAGAACTGCAGTTTATTACATTGCAGTAGAATATTATCTGCAGCAAATGGCTTCATTCTTAGGTTGAGGTGCATCCCTGAAATACATCATTAGTATTTTGTTACAGAACATTCATAGGTTATCTGGGAGAAAAAAAAAGAAAGGAATACTGTATTTTAAAGCAGAATCTTCCTTCCTTTCCACCTACAACTGCATTACTGTGCGGAACAAAAATAAATCAGAACAATGTGTTGATGAGCACTGATCTAAACAACACTATATGGAGAAGATGGACTGAGATCACTGACACAAAGTTCAGTGCTACATGGATGGCAGCCTAATATTTGTTGCTTCCCAAATATAAAGATCTTCCTTCAGCCTTTTGACCACCTGCTTATTTGTAGAAACCTAAGCTTTATTTAACATCCAATGACATTTTTGATTAACTAAACTTATTGGTTTTGGGATTTTTTTCTGTTTTTAATTTCCATTGACCTCTTGGTGGAAACTACTACGCTAAGTGGGATCACATGAAATAAGAGAGAAGATTGCCAGGAACTTCCATGAAGCCAGATTTTTACCAAGTTAGTACGACTTTCTGTGACAGTCTGGCACAAGCATTGAAACGTTTCAGTTATTCCTCTGAAATGCATTTTCCTCTTCTATTAACATAATTCAGCTAAATGGAGATCTAAAGGATGGGATCACTACTGGCAAAGCTCTAGGGATTTTCCAGCGCGAACCTATTCCCCATGTAGCTCTAGAGTAATGGACATTAAGTGAAGACTATTGTAAACAACAGAAAATCTCCAGTAAATTAATGGATTTTGAATCATGCCCTGTAAAAAAAAAAAAATTTACAAAAACATCTCTGTGAAGACAGAATGAAGAAAGGAAAAGCCATAGATTGCTAACAGCCATATAAATGTATGAGGAATTATGACCCAAACAGCATTGCCAGCTCACAACACCCTCAGTGCAGTTTCTGTAAGGTGTAGGTTGAAGAACTTTTTCTTCCCCCTTTTGTGGTTTAGTGCAAAACACTAAGATTATGGCCCAAGGAAACAGATGGAAAAACATTTCTGACAGCTTAAGTGTAGTTAATTATTTGTAGGCGAAGCATTCTGCTATCAGCATTGATTTGCTGAAACAGTCATAGCAGCAACAATTTTATTCAGCATCACTGCATTACCTGACTATAAATAGGATGGGCAGAACCACAGAACAACACCTTGCCAATGCGGCTGCCTTTCATCCCTTCCAGGAAGGGGCAGCTATAGCCCAGCACACTGTGTAGCTATACTTTTGGTAAGCACCTCAGTCAGGTCTCATTCTCTCACATTTTTTATGTGTTTTTCTCTCCTTCCCTTTTCCTTTAAGCAGATTCAACAGTTATAAAAGTAAATCAACTATATATTATATGTATGAAAAGATTTCACAAGCTAGGTATCAGCATTTACACTTTATAGGTGGTATAAAGGAGGAAAAACACATTTAAGCAAGCGCTCATTGCACACCTTCTCAATGGAGCAGAGGGAGGTGACATGTTTTCTTGTGTCTCTGTAGGATTTATTTCTATTACCAGAGCATATAAGAGAAGAAAACTGCTGCTCCTAGTAATGACATTCAGCCTTCCAGGAAAAGGGACAAGCAGAGAGTAGGCCTGGGGAAGAAATCCTCAGCCTCCACCAACCAAAAACGAGAACTGGAGACAAAGCGGTATCATCGATTTTTCTCCCTTAGAAGTGTGACATGGGGAAGAGACTGCCTTGTAACCCAAAAATCTCAGCGTTTTTAATATTCTTCATCAACAGCTATGCAGTTCTTTACTTCCCTTGCTCTGGCCAAAGCATGCTTAGCTTGTGTTTAGCCAGCCACATGGTCAGGGAATCTTGTATCCCTTGTTCTTCCTTTCTGTTTTTGCTTCTTCTCCTATAATACAGCTGGCACGTCTAACAGAAAATGACAAATCAGGTCTTGAGAACACCCACCACAACTGCTCACAGAACAAACCACACAGCCACAACACAGAATCCAGGGTAAATTTCTGGACTTCTTACAGCAATCATACACTTCCTGATACATAACAAGAGAGCTATTTGACTTTAGAAGAAAAAAAAAAATTGGGGTCTTTTCTTTTTGGTATCCTTTGACAAATCCAAGGAGACAATTCTGTCACTGTGTGAAAATTACTAATTTGAATGTCAGTATGAATATGGAATTGAAGTCCAGATACCACTACAGCTGCATCACTGCATAATGGCTTAACACTGGCCTGCCATGCAGCCAAATGGCAGTGTTCTGTCGGGAGTAACCCAGAAAGACACTGCAGCCCACCTGTGTAACAACACAGAGCACGGAATATGCCAAAGGCTGTATCATACTTCGCTGTCTATGAGGTCCATAACACTAGCAGCTTCTCAATATTGCCAGATACCTTAGAAGGTCTCATTACTTGAGTTCTGGGTTGGAGGTACCTGTCTTTTTTTACACTAAACTTCCTCTTTAGCCACTTTCATAAATTATTTTTTCTCACGAGAAGCTTCACTAAATTCAATGAAGGAGAAAAGTATCCTCACATTAAATAGTTTTTCCATTGAGTTCAAATTGAGATTTTTCTTAAAGAGAAAAAAAAAAGATAACTGGGAACAGCAGGATTATTTTTTTTAATTGGGATTATTGGCTTTCAGGCAAAACATAACCATACTTCCATCCACTCAACCTCACAAAAGGAATTCCAGGCCTCTTGATGAAACTGACCTTAAGTAGATAACCTGGAAATGTGAAACTTGAAATGATTTTTTTCCACCTCCGATGCATCCTGGGAGATGCATTGAAAGATCATTCACGTGCTCACAGCTCAGAGTTTGATGAGGTAGCAAGATATCTAGAAGTTACTCAATGTGATTTGTTCTTCTGAATCTAGTTCCTATACTTCTGTAGAACAAGATGCTTTAGTTAGGAAGGAATTCAGTTACAGTCATCAGCTTTTTACAGGTTGTGCATTCACTATACAATGGCAGCAGAGCTTTATCAGTTAGCTCTGTAATGACCCAGGGAAGTTTCTTAGCTCAAGCACATTCCAAGTGAGTATATCTATATTGCTTGTGGGGTCAGTGTCATTTCAAGAACAGTTCAGCCACTTTCCTAGTGTGCAAAACTTAAACTAATGAACCATTAGAGCCCAAATTAGCTTCCCAAGCAACCTCATTTGGCAGCCTTGTTGTATACTTCCAGAACTAGGAATGCTATGTTGTAAGAACTACATTGAATAAGACTTACTGGCTATGTCTGTACTTGTAAATTAAAGAATGTCAGCACTTGGGACAACTTGCTCATCTAAATATTGTCGTAATGCCCCCGGTATAATTTCTGTGCAGGACAACTAGCACTCTTCCAAGCAACGCCCAGGCATGGCTTGGGAGTTGACATGTTCCAGGAGCAGTCTGCATGTACCAACTGTGCTTTGCAGGCTAACAGGATTTAACTTTAACAGCCAGATCAAACCAGAAGGATTGCTGGCACTGTACACATGCAGCAACTACAGCTCAGTTTTCACTCTGCCAGACACGAGATACTCCATCCAGCCATTGCTTCTGCACCATGCTCTGAAACAGGGTATGTCAGCACAGAGGCAGTGCTGACTGTGAGACTGCCATCTCTCCTGCTGCAGCCCTGTGCCCAGACTAAAAAGTTCTCAGAGCCTGGTATACGAACAAACTATTGGCTCTCAATAGTCAGACCAAATTTGGCAGGGTCAACAATAAGCTAGTGCTACCAAGATCAGCTGACACCAAGCTGGGGTACAGATGGGCTTCTCTGCACTGTTCTCTGCAGCATCTCTGGTAGCAACATACCTTATTAGCTCATTCACAATGCAAGATCCAAGTGGTCTCTGTGCATGCACTGGGGTTAGTCTTGATCTTACAGGCTTGCCTACCACCCAGAGCACCAGTGGCTGTACTGAAATAACTTAGCGACTCTGAGGGAGCCAGCCCTGGTCCATTAGGTTCAGCACTGAAGTATATCTAGCAGGAATTCTGGACACTTGATGCCTTTGACCTGTCAATCAAACAGATTTACCTAAAATATAAATAGGTTTTGAGTATTTATGTAATGTGTATTTTTATATACATATATATATGTAAGGATATACTGCCCATATATAAGAATTAAATGACAATTACATGATAAAATTTTAAAACATTTAAATTATAAAAACCCTGAACATCTTTCAATATGAACCTCATACAAGACAAACATTTTGTATATTTGTTTCAGCTTAAACTTGACAGCAAAAATAAAGCTGCAAAACAGAATTACAGACCATAAGTAGCTGGTCCAGCATTTTCATGAATATAATACCTATGTTACAATCCTCCTTAATGTATGCAGCTTTTACCTTTCTCTTGCTGTTTTTTTTTCCAGTCAGAGGAAAACTATTCTGATAAGTGTTTGGCATGATTAGGTGAAACCCAAAATACTTCTATGTGTCACTATGTTATTAGTGCATTACAAATGAGGTACAGGAACATACCAGATGTTCACCTACAAGAGCAGAATATCATTAGAAAGCAGAACACTGCAACTGCAAATTCTTTTGTTATTGTTGCTATGGGTGGAAAAAATCCCAACACTGAAGCAATTCCACACGATCTGACATCCCTGTTTGATTAGCATCATGTGCACATCCCTGCAGAACATTCACATCTTATCTGCACTCAAGTCTGTGCTCATTTTCTCAATGTGCTGTACAGCTGTTCCTTCTGTAAAGGATGATCCTGCCCTCTGCTTCTTCAGTCCACAGCAGTCATTAAGAAAAAAAATATCTTTGTTCCCTGGAAGACAGTAGGAACTATAGTTTATAATGGAGCCACTAAACCAAGCAGCATTATCCCTGGAGAGGTGAACAGCTGTGTAACAGCCCACCTTGTTGCAGTTTTTGTTTTACTTGCTTTGAAAGTCATTTACTGCAACACACTGAGAAACAGGAGATAAACACAGTTAACTCAGCCATTCTCCCATAGTACTCTGCTTCTTCTTGCTGGGTCTTTCTTTCATGTATTCTCTGTACTTCCTGGGTTCAATGTTTTCCTCTCTTTGCCTTTTTTTTTTTGTCTGTTTGTTTGTTTTTAATCATGCATCACTTGGCTCACTCATCCTTGCACCTCCAAGCCTTTGTTGTTTTCAGTCTTTAATGATGATCTTGTAGTTAAGAGCTCACCAAAGTGTAGATCATGCTGAAAATAAAAGAAGGACACAATATGAAAGTATCCTTTTGAAGCATACAGAGCACTTTGATTTTTATCACCCTTTACTGTCTGTTTCTCAGGTCTGACCATAATGTCCTGTGCTTTCCTTTGCATTCTAGCTCTCTAAAGCATCTTAATTGTGGTGTATTCAAGACAGATATCAAAAAGGACTCAAGAAATAACAAATTCATTATCGATATCCTACTGAACTACAAGCTGTGTTTGAGCTTATTAAAATGGAGTCTGATGTCTGAATTTGAACAGTGAAGAAACAAACCCATTTTACTTCACAACATCTGATCTTTAAAACTTCAACCAGCAACTCTCAGCAGGGAAAGCAAGGTTTCCCACAAAACTGCATTACTTTGTTTCCTTTGGAAAAAAATCCATTCAGTAGAAGAAACATAAAACGCATACCCAGCTGGAGTAAATCCATATATATTAAATGCAACTCTGAAAAGCAAAGACACCACAGTAAATTGCCATGGCTCCATTTTACTGCAATTCTAATTCTGACAATACCCAGGAAAGCACAGCAAAATTGAATGTAATTAATACTATTTTATTTAGCACCAGGCAGTGAATTTTGGAGTATGGTCACATTTTAGAATTAAAGAAGCAGCACTCAGAGGAAGCTACACAACAGTAGAATCCCAGCAGAAATGCCAGACCACACTGCACAGCTGACTTTGCAGTCTTTTAGCCAACACAAAAATGTGGGGTTAAAACACTTCTCTCTCCAGCTGTGCCTTGCCTCCTTGCCAGCACTACCAACAGAGTTTGTCTAGCATAACTGCCATGCTTTCCACTCTTGGCTCTGTGAAGAGGACTAGGGCACAGGTGCTCAGCCTAAATCCTCAAAGCTAAAGTCCTCCTCAGATTTTCATGCCCCATCCATCTTAATGTGAGTTAGGCACCTACTAGCTTCTGTGAGTCTGGGTCTTTCTGCTTTCTTTCTCTCATGTATGCAGACAGGCACTTCTACATGCACACGTGGATAGAAAACTTTGTTCTCAACAGTACTTAAAAGCAGTATTGAGAAACAAAAACCTGCAGCAATAACTCCTTGAGATATGGGGAAAAACAGAACAGATACTGGGCCAGTAATCAAAGGAGAAATAACATTTATCTTCTTCACTAGCGTACAAACTTGCCTTACAGAGGGATTGCTGCATGTGAGACTGGCTTGAAGAGGCAGTCTGTCCAAACGCATTATGGAAGAAGGAGCAGAACAAAGGCATCATAAAAACAACACCTGTGTTTAACGTTAACTTTTGTTTCAAATATTTCTACGGTGTAATTAGAGGGGAGGCTAAAAGCACAAGGATTCTGAAAAGGACTTACCTTAAATATGAACCTCACATATTCTTGCACTGAGCATTTATGACTGTGCACTAAGGACATCTAACAGCAGAAAAGGTCAGGAGACAACACACAACTGGAGTGCGTATCTTCAAGAATGTACTTAGATGAGGGATTTGGACAAGACATGTGCTTACCCTGTCATGAAAGGAAGCCTGCAGGAATGACTACAGTCATGGTGCACTCCACTTTCCTACCCACCATCTACCTATTACATTGAGCATCACTACACCAGCAGACGTAGTATTTTTCTTACGATTCTCTTGAATCATAAGAATGCTATCATTTTTATTTGATGTAATGCCATTATCAAAACATTTGCCACTTCACCCATCCTAAAAGGCTATGCAGAGGAGCAAAAATTCTTCCCTTGGGTTGACCCTGGGGCCTGGCTCAGCCCTTAGATAAACATTTTGTATTCTGTACTGAGGTGTCAGCAGATATAAGCACATGTGTAAGTGGGCATGTTTCCCTGAATCCAGATCAGAAGCAAGTTTTATAAGATTAAGAAAACGGGCCAATTGGCTCCAGTCATTCCTAAACACAATTCCACATGTCAAATGAAAAGCAGCTACCATTTCCTTAGTGAAATGACCAGACTTACCAGTACAGATAGTAGAAGAAGGAAAGGAGATAGAAGGCTAGCTTACACCAGGCCTCTTTTTGACAGTAACTCAAGGTATCTGCATTCATGACTGCAGGTGGATCATATGCCAGCTCTGAACTATCTGCTGGGCAACGAAAATACCTGAAAGAACAGAAGACATCTGAAATTACTATAATATTCTGTATTAAATACGTGCAAATATACACCCTCCTTATCACCCTCCCAGATGACAAGCATTTCCATGATATAGGAGGAATTTTCCTCTCTTCTTCAAGCCTCTATCTCCAGATGTTGTTAAAATCAGGACACTAGTCTAAGCAGACCGTTCTTACAGAACCAACCAATTCATGAATCTGGACTTTCTGTATTCTATTAATTCTTTAGATTGAAAAATTCCCCCTTCCTGTACAGTTATTTCTAGCTTACTCACTAATAATTTACATACTGTGAGTGATATGTGGCAGCTTATGATCACAGCATGGAAAGAAGATTACTGGGCTTTAACTGCACCTATACAATTGATTTCAGACATGATGAAAGCTGACAGTCTCAACCAACTGATAGGTAAGTTCCTTCAAGTCTGAAAAGGAAACAAGTCAATATGGAGTAATGCAAGAGCTGGCTGACTAATGTTTTCCACATGTAGGACTGCTTAAAAATTTATTATCCAAATAATCTTCATTGGAAAATGTTTTTCTTCTTAATAGGTGAGATTTCTAATTATTCTCAGCAATGACTGGATGTTTGAGAAAATCCTCACAGAAGAACTTTTTTGGCAAAGGAGCTTTTGTTTCTGCTACTTTGCAGTAAAAAGCAAAAGTGAATAAAAAAAAATCCTCAGCAAAGTTAATGAATTGCTTTAAGATCAGCGTAAGTCAGATGCAATATTGTTATTGCTATTGCTTTGAAATAGTAAACACTGAAGATTACTGGGATTGCTTATAAAGACAAACACATAGATAGAAAGATCTAAAATCCCAAAACAAGTGACTAGCATCAAATTTTGAAAGTAAATGTTCTCATAATAACTTCCTCTCAATATTAATCACATCCACTTACAATCTTTAGTAACATTACAAATTCTTTTACAGAGACTAACAGTGGAACCTTACTTTATTATCTTAACTGAGATGAAGATATTACACAGTATCTTCCCATGTGGGTTTTTTCTTTCCTGAAGATTACACAATGAACCTAAACCCATCTGTGGTTAAACCAGCAGAAGTTCCGGAATACCTATATAGACAAGCTATTATAGCAAAGCATATGGAGAATCATGGAAAGCAAAAAAGACAAGCGAAAGGTCCCTCCAAAGGTTGATACATTATTTAGAATCAGACCATTCTCACCTTGATCGTAAAATACAATTTAATTTGTTTTTAAAAGCTTTCTAAACCAATATTATTGTCACACTTTAGTCGTTAATACTTAGTAAAACAGCACCATAAAACATGATTATTTTTATTGCACCTAAGCAATAGAGAGAAAAGTACTCCTAGCTCCACTTAATTTAGCTTTCTGAGAACTGTACTGGCACTTTAACTTCTGAATAATACACTTTATCATACGGTGTTGTGCTAAGATTTTGCAGAAAATAGTGTAAAGAAGCTACTACTATTTAGTTCCTGGTTGGGATAATGGTTTTGCCAAAAGTTAGAGTTACAGAACTCTTCAAGCTACTTTGCAACTGGAGGTACTTGCTTCAATATGTATCTTTGTAACACAAAGAGAACTTGACAGACAAAAGTAATCCATGCTTCTACAAACACCGCAGAAATGAAAAACTAGTGAAGTCTCCAAGCTGACAACCACAAAAGCTGGTATTTTTTGGTTATCTTCAGAGGCAACAGAAGGCAGATCCTCCACTAGAATGCAGACGAAGATGCAGCAGCAGCTGACACTGCCTGTCCAGAAAATATTAAAGCTGCTCAACAGCAGGTCTTATGTGATCAACTCTGAAAGCTCTTTAATGAATATAAACACATAGCAGAGATCGAGAGCGAAAACACTCCCCACTTTTTCATGTGGGCAGGGCAAAGACAACAGCTCTTCAACTACTGCAATCCCTAGTGCAACAGCATGTAAGAGACTTCCCTTGCAGAACAGATACTCTTTACTGTACAACTTATTTTATGCTGAAAAAAAAAAAAAACAAAAAAAAGCACAAAGGTGCCAAAGAAAATGAGAAGCAAAATCCTGTCAATCTGCCAGTCTCTATTTCACAACTTCAACTGAAAGATTTCCTTGCTAGAGATGAATGAATAGATCCAAGATCTTTCAAATATGAACTGCCTTCTGTGTTCGGTACTTCAGTTCAGAAGTAAACACTTCCTATCTGCTAAGTACTTAGAGCCTCACCAAGTTCCAGTTTTAGATTCCAGCCTGATTTCCAAGTTTTCATTCAGCTGTGGCGAGTGCATTCGGACACACTTTGCAATATTCACCTAAGTTACCAACTAAACCCCATATTTATATTATGTGTTTTCTGTACCCATAGTAAGCATTCATGAAAAATATTTACTTTTTCTCTGTGAACATTTCAGCTGCTCATAGGCAAAAACTTCCAGGTAAAAGATATCCAGCCACACTCCTATCACTGCATGTCATAGTTCATACAACCTGCATGGGTGATGAGTTGGCAAATAAGGCTAACAAGAAGTCAGCATAAAAGATGTGCTTACCTCCAGAAGTGGTAAAAAAGCAAAGGAACATTTAACCCCAGTGTGAGCCACTCCTGAGCGCACAAAAACATTATGCAGAAAAGACTATGGATAGAGTACTCGGGCAACACCAGCTAAAAAGAAAGGAACAGAAATAAAAGCTGTTTGTTAGTAAAGCACCTCTTTTAATCAATTAAGCAGTTTTCCACAAAACAAACCACCTCTGCAAGTCGCCTGTCTGTCTGTCCCTAGACATGCCTCAGTTGACAGACAGCTTTGCTATGAGCAATGAGCACAAGATGCAGTACCAGGTTCTAAACATGGCTATACTCCATGAGCTGCTACCACTTACAGAAGCATTGTGAGAATAAAGCAATGTCTGTAAAAGGCTTCTTAGAGAACTAAGTTTCATTACTAAAATATTCTGAAAGGAAATAATAAAGTTATTACTGAAGCTTCACTTTTACACTGGAGCAGCATCCTCAGAAAAATGAAAGGCTGCTTCTATCACTTTAATGTGTTATATACACCCTATAGAGATAAAATCCATTACTAAATCAGCATTGCAAGCTATAACCTACTAAAACAGGAATCTCACTTCCTTAGTAAATCCATGGCTCCCCACACTACTTGTTTCAGACCCAGGGTGATTCTTTCTATTAAAAGAGAAAGTGAGTAGGCAGTTGGCAGAAGCAGAAATTTATGTGCTGTTGATTGAGTGTAGTTATTTCTAAAGGCATTTTGCCTTTTTTTTTTTTTTTTCTCCACTGTTTTCCTATTTCTTAGCTGGCTTTCTTCTCTTGTTTTATTCCAATGCCTTTTCTCAAAAACCTCTATTTCTTTTCTTTCAGCAGTACATATTTCTCAAAGCTGGACAATCCCATACACAGTTAATCTGCATCCCTTGCTGCATCTTGGAGCCACATCAACCAAAGTTAAATTACAAAAAGCATCTCAGTGTCTTCTCGGATGTCCATTCATTTTCATCTGGCAAGTAATTAAAGTGAGGCTTATTTTTTAAAACAATGTAAAACCTACTGTATGGCTACCCCTAATGCCTACCTACTCCCATACAGCTGTGTTGCAATGAGTTCCATCTTCTTGGTACTATAAGTCTTTCTACCTCACATGGAATGTATTTTTTCACCTTCATTTAACTTTACTACTTGAAGTATTTAACACATTTGGGTATCTCTATGTCTACACCTTCAACTTATACATTCTCAAAAGCTTATCTTATGTAGATGACAAATTGTAATACAATTACATCGTTCAGATTCCAGATGGTAGTTATTTATCACTGCTGGATTTTATTTTTTCTTTCATTTTTAGAATGTGATTTACAACATGACTATAACCTTTCCCCAAAGAATGATTCATCTTCATCACAAACTGCAGACAAGAAAGATCTTCATGATGTACATCTACCCATTAAACATCACAACACTTAAAAGCATGTTACATTAATTATCACATATTTGATTTCTGATTCCAACACAATCCACAAAGTTAGCAGGAACACAAGCCTGGTGCCTGATCAGTGGGCTGGCTGGTAATAACAGGGAAGGAAACCCATGGTGAAAATTTATGCAGAGATTAAAAACCAAACCAAATCAAAAGATCTGCTGTGAAGCCAAAAAGGAAACAAAGAACAAAGGAAGCCGTAGACTCTCAGAAACAGACTCACTTCCCAGTCACAGTTTCTGGTATAAATTAAATCTACATATGCTTTGACAGAACAATAAATGAGTCACTTATGTCTCTTCACCCTTTTCTTTGAGGGATATTTTCCTATGGATGTAAACAAAGAAAGGATCAGTGCTGATCACAGTTTCTGAAGAGAATATGCAAAGTTGCAAAGGAAGCCCAGCCTTCAAAGCCAATTACTGCTTATACTCAGGTGACTTACCTAAGAGACCAAATCTAAAAGGAGAGAGAATTTAAAATATGAACTGTAGAACAGCATTAACAGCAAGGATTGTGAAGAAAATTAAACTGAATAACTAAACTGAAAAATAATGCTGCCTCAGTTCTTGGCTGTAAGATCCGTCTTGCAGTTTGATACAGTGTCCTTTCAGCAATGGAAACTTTTGATCAACTTTAACACACAAAGGATTTGGCTCCTGGAGAGAAGGAAGCTGGCTCAGAAACAACCAACACTCAATCCTTGTTCCCACTGAGGTAATCAACAGCAATAGCGATTTCTGAGATAGAGATAGCTGTGCAGTAGGAATTCAACCAAAGTCTTTAATTCATTCCTGGAAGAGCATACAAATATGCCAGATGGTAAACATGTTGAGCTGTAACCAGTATACTTCCATTTTGAACCAGGAACACTCTGATTCAGATAACAACCTTTGCTTTCTGACAAGATGAAACCTTGAGATGGTTAGAGAACATGGCATTGGAGGAAAAACTGGCAAAGCAGCACAGTTCTTAAGGGCTGCAACTTGGTCACTTTGAGTCCCAATCTAAGGAGTGGCATTACAAATTTATCACCAGAAACTCTGCTGGTTGACACTTACCTGTGGAAAAAATACAGGAAAGCCTGAAAAGGAAAGTCATCTTCTAGACGAAAAGGCTGCTAATCAGAAACACCTTTTGCTATAAGCAAGGGAAAGAAACCACCATACATTTCTAAGTTTTGCTTTGATTTGTACAGTTAAATAAATAGCCATATCAGTAAATACTGAAAATCCTCATTCACAATCCATCAATAGCATTTAAAATGTAAAATCTTAGGTAGATAACATACTTGTATCATTGCCATCTCCCTTTAAATACTCAATACATCCTCATATGAAGCAGCACACACACACATGCCTGTGTAGGCAGATTCTTCCTCCCTAATTCCAAAGAAAATAAAGTAGGCTTTGCTGTGCATAGACATCAAGGTTCAGCTGAAGTAAAGAATGGAAAAAGGAACACTGAAGCTAAGCACCTGTCAGCAGCTTCTTTACATTTATAGGAATACAAAGACCTCTGTAGATTGCAACTGCAGGCAGCCATCTCTTGGGAAGCTCAGTCCTAAATCATTTTATTCAGCTTCCTATTTCCTAAATATATTCTGTTGGTCTTACACAAAAGATAAATCCATCTTTTTCTGACAGTACTTTTCCTCCTTATTCTGTTTATTACAGACGGATACATCCTTCTCAAATCTGATTTTGCTTTTACAGAACATTGTATCATTTTTACATGGAGTGACTCTTACACCTTGGCCAATGAAAAGGGCATGTAACATAACTCATAGAAACTAAAACTGGGAAAGTATCATAGCAGGAATAGTAATCTCCCTTCACCACTGCTATTAAATTCTCATGCTTAGAGAATAAATCTGCAAGTGAACCAAATGGTTTTCCCAGTCACTGTTAAGCCACTGCAATATCAAGGTCTCTAGCAATTTGCTTACTGTGCTAATCGAGTGCAGCACAGTAATTCTCACAGAATTGTTGGTTTTCCCCCAAAAGACTCCGAGTCTACATCATTCTCTATCTCTGCATGTTAGCCTCCACACTGTAATCACAGATTCAGCACCATACACAGAAATTGCTAGCCATTAGACACTCTACCCTTGCCAGGGTTTCAGAGAGTTTTCATTACACTGTTAGAGGCAGAGACAACTTTCCATCTCAATGCTTGCCTTCTCCTCCCACAGACAGCAGGAAACAAAGCTGAAGAGAAATAGAGGTTGATTCTCCTTCACCAAGAGCTCAAGTGAGATACCCAAGTCAAAACCAAGTCACCTTGCAAACACATGAGCCCTTTCCCATCCACCTAAAAGCAACAAGAAACTGAAAACACCATGCATGCATCGATTCAATCCAGGGCCCAAAGTTAGGCCTGACCTAAGGGCATGCTGCTTTGTTGCATTGGTTAATGCTACTGCATTACCCAATTAAAGGATTGGCTCACCCATTAAAGGATGGCTGTGGCATGTCACTATGATTCTCACTTTGCTGCTTTTCCACCATATCCCTCACTACAGCTGACATGTAAAATTGGCCCTCATTGATAGAAGGGAACGAGAGGATGGAAATGACCTTAACGTTTTCAAAACTCAATGGTTACTTTAACTACACTTTAAAGACCATCCTAATAGAGCCTGACAGAGCTAACTTAGGTCACTGGGGGAGTATCAACTGCTGAATTAAAGACATTGTGAGACCAAAGGAAGACATTTAATGACTCTGAAATTCTCCTAATTGAACAACACAGACCACAAAAGTCAGAGTAGTGCAAAAAAGTGAAAAAAGTAAAAACACACAGAAAAATAGCAGCCGTATGTGCGTTATCCCAGAGTGTGCATGCATGTATAAAGTACCTACACAGAAACAACTCATACCTGTTTGCTCCTGCTGTTGCACAATCTAAAGAAATAGGTGTTTAATTTAAATAGACCATATATCTTAACATTTGCAACAGTTTTTAACATACTGCTGCATCGATAAATAGAAGACATTAAATTTACTGTTGAAACACAGGAAGGCTTTCCACTTACATTCCTTGTGTATCTTTCTAATCTTTAAATTATTTGAATTACTTGACTTCCAAAACTTCTGAGAGGCTGCCCTAGAGCCCAATACAAAGCTGTCACAGTAAATACATTAAGGTTTTCAGTTCAAATTTTCAAGTTCAGTTTCTTTAAATTCTCCTGTCAAAATCCACTCTTGCTTGTGCCCCTGCATGCTGTCCTCTAGTTACTTATAGCAATCACTCAGAAATTCAGTTGCGTAGTTAAAATTGTTGTAACACAAACCGCTACCCAAAGCATTTTAAGTAATTCAAAACCATGTTATGCAAACCTTTGTAAGTATTTAGCAGTTTGCTATGTGTATGGTATGCAACTAGCTGAAAGAAAACGTCTGGAAATGCATTCCAGATCATCAAAAGAAAAACCCGCAGCTGGAGCACTCGAAGTTCACATGAACAGCTCTACATTTTATCTAGGGAAGAGTAATGGCAAGACTCTTCAGACATATGCAAGACTCAATGTTACAGACCAAACGCATACCGAAAAGTAAAAGAAAGGACGTAACATGTATGTTTTCCACCCTGGACAACAACAAAGCAAAGCAGCACAAAGCCAATGCTTTGTAAAGGTAATTCCATTATTCTAATGAACCACTAGAAT